AGTCTTAACATGGTTCAGGCTCTGTTTCCCTCGAAGCAGGACAGGATAAAACAAGGTGCAAAAACTCCCAGAAATCCCCCAATTTGGCCCCAATTTGTGCAGTAGGTCCATTCCTCAGCTTTAAGAGAAAGCAACATTATCCTGGCTAATTCCAAGGAGTGAGAAAGCTTCTGGACAACAAACATTGAAGGTGAACTGCTAAGCTGGGGTTTGCAAAGAGCTGCTTAACTGGAGGTTCAACCAGTGAAGCAGCAAAGCCAGACCAGGACAGAAATCTCTTAAAGCTGTGGCTCCAATGGCAGCAGGACCACACTCAGCCTAAACATCTAAAAATTACAATTAAAATGCACATTCCAAAGTCAACTGCCCTCGTATTGATTGATGTGAAGTGTCCCCTTCCCCCGTTCAACACAATAAACATGATAATTAAACCATCAGCAACTCAAGTCCTTCCACTTTGATGACCCTTGTTAGGAAGAATAAATAAACCTGGAGAAGACTGTGGCCCTAAAGAATTTAAAAATTTGTTTTACAGCTGCAAACACACCAAAGAAATAAAAGATATAAAGAACAAAATCCCCAAACCCACTGCTTTGGGTTGTGCCAACGTGCAGCATTTTGACATTGCAGCTCCCAAACAAAGGGACCCAAAAAACCCCACCAGCTTCCAGAGCAGGTAAAAATAGAGCTTTAAAAAAATAGACATACAGGCTTAAGGTCTGTTTGTTGCATAATCTTTACAGCATTTAAACAAAAACCAAAAAAAAAATCCAGCTTTCTACAGAATCAGAGCTCTGACTTACGAAGTCATTGAGTCGTATCTGTGAACATCCCACTGAGCAAAGCTGGGTGCTGTCACAGGAGGAAGAACAGATTTAACCCCCAAACAAACAGATTTTGTGCTCAGAAAACGACAGAAGGCAAGGAGTGCTAAGCCTAGAAAAGCTGAGCTTAAATCCCACCTCGTTCTCTCCCCTGCCAGAAGCAGCTGGGAGAGGTGATGATCCTGATCCCAGAGGGAGCACCAGACCCCTCAGCTTGAACCTGCTGTTCCCAAGCCCTCTCCCAGTCCCTCAGGCTGGGACACAGCTTAATTCCACATGATTAAAGCACACAGGGGTGGAAAGGATGACTTCCAGAGCGGGACAGGAACGAGCCAACTCTGCCACAGGTCTCAGCAGCACATGGGAAAAGGGAGTCCTGGTTTAAGCAAAGGCAGAATCCCAGCCCCTCACACCCTTCTGGCCACGGGAGTCACACAGAGGAGTGACCCTCCCCACTGGGAATTAAGATTCCCAGTGTGTCCTTCCTTCTTGGAGCTCCCCTTTCCCCCCTTTATATCCCCAAACAGAAAGGGAGGTGGCCAGGGTTGCACATCAAACACAGTCCCAGCAAGTTGCTGTGCTCATGGCACCTCTGGAAAAGTGCACAGGAAAGCCAGGGAGCTTCCCACAAAAACCTGGAGTATCCCCACACTTCTCTGAAAAGGCAACTACCTCAGCAAAGCCTCCCACTTGCATGATCTCCACCTTAAACCATTTATTTCACCAAAGGAAAAAAAGTGCCAGGAACAACCATAAGAGACTTATTCTGAACTAGAGCAGCAGCTTCCAAGCCAAAAGGCAAATAATTCCCAACTTACACCTATCCAGGTACAGACAAAAAGGATTTGTAGTGGTTCTAAATACCACCAGCAAAGAATACTCGGTGTGGAAGGAAAAAAATCCAACAGCAGCAGTTCAGGAACTAAGTCTCACACACTCCTGAAAAGGCCACAGCAAGAAAAGCATCATGAACTTAAATAACTTCCCTTCATGCTGCTCTAATGAAAATACCAAATTAATACCAATTTCTGGGTTTTACTTTCTAGAAATACCATCAAAGTAATTTAACTGCCAGAGGGACCCTGTGGGTACAGAAGAAAAACAGAGATACAAAACCCATAACCAGAAAAAAAAAACCCTCAGGGTTCTTCCCCTGCTGTGGCCTCTCCTTCTGGGAATTAATAAGGTTGGATCATCAGAAACCTCCAGTTATTTATAAATAAATAAATAATCACAATTCTTAAGTCTGTGTTGTATGGGACTATTGATTTGGGATTTTTAAAGCATTAAAGATTTGCTATGAACTATAAAAATCACACCCTGATAACAGTCTTGACTTAAGAAGGGACTCTAAGGACCCTGTTTGCTTCAACTGGAGCAATCACTGCTCCCAGGACTGGCTGCAACTCTTCACCTCATCCAGAAGTTTAAACAGGAGAAAAACCCAAAGAATTAAATCTCAAAAAAGCTGGGAGGGGTGAGGTAGGTGGAAATGGAAAAGGGAATAAACTAAGTTTTACCTGATTGCTTCTCAAAATGGGGAGGGAAAGGAGGATTTTTTTTTTCCCCCTCCAAAAAAAAAAATCAAACCTAACTCCAAACCCAAACCACCTCCCTGGCTTAAGTTAAGTGTGACCTAAAACCTCAACCCTGCTCCCCCTGAAGTCAGTAACAATTAGCTCCCAAAGCCACAAGCATTACACTTGTACTTATTGATACCAAAAATTCAGTGCAAGACTTACAGAATTCGTGCCCTGTTGACAAATTAACCAAAAACAACGTGGTGAACAACAGAGCTGCTGCAACTCCAGGTGTTGTTTCACAAAATACAGCAGGTTTTCCCCCCAAAATACAAAAGGGGGAGTAATAAAGCAGCAGAACTGAAGCGTTCTGACATGAGAACTGAAGGCAGGCCTGGGTCTGATGCTGCCCATAGGCAAATCAGTTAAAGAAATGGGCACAAAAAGTCATTTTTTGGGGAAGACCTGGAGTTTTTCTGAAGAAAACAGAGCGAGGCAAAGTGAAACCCGAGCGTGTGGAGCTGGGGGGATTTGTAGGGCATGACAAGGAACATCTGACACTGGCACACGAGACCCCGGGGTGACAACATTCCACAGCCACTTAAAGAGCCCCAGACTGGCCTGTCTAATGAGTGCAATTACCATAATTAACAGTGGGTGTTAATTGGAGTCCAGTGCAGCCAAGCTGGAACCCTTTAAAACTGCATTTTTAAACTGTAATTGAAAAAAAAAAAAAAGTTGTTTATCATTTTGGGAAAATGAGGCTGTTAAAGGCACATTAACTATGAATCAATTAAGACCACGTTCCTTCACAACATTAATTAACACTAATAATACAATAAGGACCCACTATACTCTATACATTCACCACAAAACCACCCTACAAGTGTTCTGTAAACAGAAAAAGCTGACCCAGGCTTGCAAAGCCTGGTTTCCTCTCACCACAGCAATGGTAATTAAACCACAGAATCATCCACGAACTGAAATACTGCAAGCTCCACTTGTCAGCTGTGGGTTATTTAGTTTCACAAACACAAATCTGACCTCGTTAAATTAAGTCTGTGCAAATAAACTGCATGTGCACACAGAGAAAACACTCACACTCAAATAACTGTTACCTGTTTTTTAGGCTAAGGCTGAAAAAAAAATAATGTTCTTTTAAGTTGAATTCACTTTCTGTAGAGGAAAAAAAAAAACCACCATAATCTTGCTACACTAAGAATCTGATTTCTACCTACTTTTGCTTTTAAACTTTGCTCAGTGGATTACAGTGTGTGAATTTTTGCTACAAGTTTCCACGTTACTGCCTCAATAGAGTTTTAAGGGTGGCACTGCCGAGACAAAAATCTGCTCTAGGAACATCCATGGAGCCAAAACTACACATTTGGAACGTTTTGCAAGTACACAGATATGGAAACAGCTCTCTAATCACCCACAAAACGTCAAATTCCACATTGAACACTATGTAACGTAAAAAAATCTTCATTTTTGCCTTTCAAACTTCACTTGTATCACCAACTTCACTCAATTTTAAAATAAGAACTGCTCTCCAAACCATATATACTGATACTTAAGAGCCTTAATTGATTATTAGTACATGTTAAGAGACAGTGTAACAGTAAGTTAAAGCATTAAAATATTCCTAAATGCCCTAAGAACACACCTGGAATTACTCATTCTTTGCTAATTCTCACCCTGAACATCCATACTCTGATTGTCTAAGCCACAGAACAGAGACTAAGTTAACAGCAATTAAATATATTAAGTCTTCCACACCAAAAAATAATCAGTTAAACAGCTTTGGTAACCTAGTACATAGTTAGCTCTGTGTAAATATTTTGCAAACATCCCTTCACCAAAAAAAAAAAAAAATCCCTAAATACCATGTGTATATTTATATAATAATATACAGAGTTCCTGAGTAAATCGTTAGATCTGATTATTCAGAAGATTTGGCAAAATATTTAAACTTTATATTACTAAAATAGAATTTTAAATAAACATTCAATGAACACATCAAAATAAATACGGAATGTGTCTGAAAAAAAATTATAGTACCATGAACTTAATTACAAAATTATTGTTTGTTATTAATATAAGTGCATACTATGTTATACAGTTACTGGTTTTTAACCCACTGAGGAACCAATAAATCCAATTTCTAATCCTGAGTGACAGTTTTCCATCACCTGCTGACGTGTACTCCAATGCAGTACACACTGCAAAGCTACAAAATCATTTTTTAATGGAAATATTGAAGTGGACTGTGCTGTGGGAAAGCTCAGTTCACACTGGTTTTGCCAGAAACTGAACTGGCAGCACAGCTGCTGAAGTATCTCACACAACAACGTTAAACACTGATTACTCTCCCCAAATTAGTGATAGCCTGGATGACCTGATTCCCAAAAACACAGGAGTGTGGATTGCTCCTGGCAGAGTGATGGGATGCAAACTACTCAGTGATCACTTTGGCTCTTAAAAGAACTATATTATGGTGCAAAAAAAACCCCG